CCCTACCACAAGCAACAGCACACTGCTTAGATGGCTTTAGAGGTTTATCAACTATTACACCAAGATCACTGTTAAGGTTATTCCCATCCAAATTATACTTATAATTCAAATTATGATAACCCACATGCATTATCTTGCATTTATTATCATTAAAACCCATCTGCCATTTATTTGCACAATTCACTAAATGATCTAAATCCTTTTGTATAGCAGCAGCATTCTCTTCACAGCTAGCAACACCCAAGACTTTAATATCATCTGCAAATTTAAGTAATTTATTGACTATTCCTTCATCTGTGTTATTTATGTAAATCAAAAAGAGCAAAGATCCTAAGATTGAGCCCTGAGGTACCCCACTTGTGACGTTAATTCAATATGGTTGAACTCCATTTGTAACAACTCTCTGCTTTCTTTCGTCCAACCACTCTCCTATCCAGTTTGCTAGCTTATCCCCCACACCTATAGAGATGATTTATTTTTGAAACCTTTTATGTGGTACAATGTCAGATGCTTTCTGAAAATCCAGATACACCAAATCTACACCCTTACCCTCATCTACATAAGCAGTAACCTTTTCAAAGAATGTCAAAATATTTGTGAGGCAAGATTTTCCCTTAGTGAAACTATGTTGACTCTACAATAAAATTCTAAACATTGTTAAATGACTTTGCAAAGCATCATTTAACAGACTTTCCAAAACTTTTCCTACAACTGATGTAAGACTAATGCAAGTAAAAAAACAAATTGGCTCACAAAGAGTTTAAGAGATAATTAAAGAAAAGCACAATAAATTTAAAGAAATTTAAATTTACTGGTATGAAAGGAGATTTAGAAGATTATAGAAGATCAAGAAAGTTTGTGAAACAGGAAATTAGGACATCAAAAAGGATATGAGAAAAGGTTGGCTAAAAATGTAAAAATTAACAGTAAGGATTTCTTTAAATACATTAAGGATAAACAAACTGATAGGATGGGGGTAGGACCCTTGAGGGACGATAAAGGAAGGCTAGTATCTGATGATTATGAGATGGCTAGGTTATTAAATTGAACTTTTTCTTTGGTTTTTACTAATGAAGATTTAAACAGTATACCACATCTTGAACTGTTAAAAAAAATTATGTTAAATTACCTAATCCAATCTAATTACCCAAAAATAACTATAGTCATTCTGAAAACATTGTAAATGACCATCACATTACTAGTTTCTTGAACACTTTGAACTAGGTTTGCTAGTTTTGGGGAACTAAAAAACACTTATGTTTACTTAATAGTCTGTTTATTTAAGAAAAACACTTAAAATTAACATTGTTAATGAAAAGTCTAAAGGATAAAGCAAGAAAATGATTAAATATACTGATAGTATTACAATAGATAAACCAGTAATTAGTAATTTGACAATAAATAAGTAGGCAAACAACGATTTATAAGTAATGAAGTGACTTGTTTATGGTGGAACATCCTACATGTTTTGAAAGAATGTTGGTCTGTCTGTCTTTATATTTGAAATATGTAGTATGTTTCACCTGTAAATAAGTCACTTCATTATACGTATAAATTGTTGTTTGCCTGCTTATTATTATAAAGTGCTTCTTTGCTCTAGTAGTTTGATTTTTTTGGACAAAAAATGATGAATTGATGCTGAAAGATACTTAATATGTTTCCATTGAATAAAAATGTATTGTTCAAAGATAGTTTTATGATTACATTTTTTTATTTAAAAAAAAAGTCAAATTGTGTTGCAATTTGCCTAGTTGATCTTGTTTTCTTTCAGTGTGTATATATACACTGTGAAATCTTTGATGGGATTCGAGTTAATATGAATTCTGTAAAGTATTAAAATGTGCTTACACCATGCCTGAACCACAGATTTTATCACACCATTGCAGTTTTGAGGATTTATATTCATCCAAAAAACTCAGGATATTCCAAATTTTTATAAAAGTCAAAAGTTTATGAAAATTCAAAATGGAAAGGAAAATAATTTAAAAGACTTAAGGATCACATTTATTTAAGTGACAGGAATCATTCTATTTGTGACTTTGAGACCTGTTTGACAACTAAATGTTTGACAGTGTAAGTGTTGATCTTATATTGGCAATTATTCTCTGTATGAAATTCACAAATGTAGTCTGTGCTTGCTTTGTCTCAAGTTTGCGGATTGTAAAATATTTGTGACTCTGGGCAATTTTTTCTTATATTTGAGATGTGTATTAAACCATAATGTTGTCAGACAGCTAGTGCTAATAATAGAAATGATTAATGATATTCGAATTTTCCTTTCTTGGTGTTTTTTAATCTTCATGAAGTTTTTAAGCTTGTAATATATTCTCAAGGCAGGTTTTCCAGCAGACCTGTTTTTTTTATTATTTTTACATAGTTCTTCTAATTTTCTCAAAAACTGTTCCATTATCTATAGTTTGTGAAAATATTACCATTTATGTTCAAAGTTTCTTTACAACCTGTGTCTCAGTGACAAAATAAAGAAAGCTGGTGATGTAATAAAGAAGAGTGAAGATGTGATATGATGTTGTAGGGTTTAAATTACTAAATGAGGAAAACCGAGGGAAATATTTCATGCTAATTTTACATGCTTTTCCTGACAAAGTGAAATTTTCATGGTAATTTACATAAATATTTATACCAAAAAAATCTTTACCAAAATGTAAGTTATAAGTGACAGCAGGGGCTTCTGTTTCACTCTAAATAGTAGTATTGTTCTACCTCATCCTTATTTTGTAAAACTTCCTTCCTATTTTTTCTTAAATCCTCTGATTATCCTACCAAGTTGTTGGGAGATGTGGATATCTGACCAGTGTTTTTGACCAAGTTGTTGGGAGATGTAGATATGTAACCAGTGTTTTTGACCAAGTTGTTGGGAGATGTAGATATGTAACCAGTGTTTTTGACCAAGTTGTTGGGAGATGTAGATATGTAACCAGTGT